GGTTTTACACCTTTTGTTCATCAGGGGCTCCTGCTTCTTGGCCTAGGCACACTCCTAAGTACTTTTCCTCCTTCTGTACTAGTTGATTTTAAATCCTGTTCCCTGAAGAAGCTTCAGAACCGCCCTAGTTGCATCACGAACAAATTCTGAATCCTTGCCAAAAACGATGGCATCATCAACATAAGACTTAGCGGCCTCCCTGTACTCTGCGGGGAGCTTATCCAGCATCCAGCTTATAACATATACTTGGTGAGAGATGCAAACACTGTGGTAACCTTTTGTAACAATACCGTTTTCCACAAAATGTGAATGCAAATTTGTATGAACGGGACTCCACCAGAGGAATAGAATGGTAGCAATTAGCAAGCAGTTCTTGAGAGAGCTCTCTCACCCCCACCTGCCTCACAGGGTGTCTGTTGTGGGGAGGGGAAGGGAAAGGAGTTTGTAAGCCACTCTGAGACTCCTTTGGGTAGAGAAGGGCGGGGTATAAATCCAATCTCTTCTTCTTCAATATCCAGACAGGTGAAATATTTGGCCCCGACCACCATGGAGGCAATAACTTCTGGCTAAGTAGCCACAACTGGTGCTGTATTTGGGATTGTGCTATTCAAATCTCTGAAATCCATTCCTAATCTGTATGAACTGTACTTTTTCTTTACTGGCCTGCTGGGTATTTGTGCTCCTTCTGAGGTTTAGGATTAGGTCCTGTGATTAAAACCTCAGCTGCTATCTCTCCGCACACAGACTTATTCTTAATCCCTACAAAGGGGAGCTCTTTAATCCATTCTTCCTTCCCCTCAGGGTTCTGTTTTTCTTTAGCATAAAAGGCTATGGAGATACAGCGGAAAGGTAACAGTGCTCTTATACATGCTGCCCAAAATCCCCCTATGCCAACCCTGTCTGGTAAGTGTGAGCAAATTGTGGCCCACGTTTTGGGGTCTGTGCAGTGTTGTGCAAGGTTCCTGAGGTCACCTTGAGCCCATTCCACATGCATCAAACATCCAAGATAAGGCCGTATTGTTGTTTTATGGTCCTATCTTTTTTGCTGCTGCTTGAAGTTCATGGAACTTCACTGGAGGCATTTCCTCTGTTGACTCCACTGTACTCCCTCTTTCAGTAATGACAGATTTCCTCACTATGAGGTTTATTGAGTATTTCCTTTCCCTAATTATGTTTCTTTACCTTCTGAGTCTAATCTAATACTGTTCTGGCATGTGTGGCACACAGACTCTGGATGACCTCTAAGATATCTTCTCGGCAGTCATCCAAATCGAAGTCATAACTGGGAATAACATCCAGTCCATTATTTACTCTCCTGGTGACTGCTGATATTAACCCCTTCCTAACTACCAGGGTGTTTTTTACTTTCTGGATATTTATCTGAGATTTGTCATGGATGTCCCCACTATTTTTCTCATTTTTCCTCTGTTCTGAAATAATTCTCACTGCAGCCTGTGCTTCTTTGACTTGTGTTTTATGATTTTGCTCTGTCCCTTCAGCTGTTTCAGCTTTATTTTTCCAGTTTTCATTCTTCCTCTAATTTGTGCAGCACAGATGAGTTTTATAAATTCTGTTCCACACTAAGTATTGTGCTTTTCTCAAATACCCGTTTCCTCTTAATTTATCATTTTGTTATTCTAGATCATTTATTCTATCTACACATTCTTGCAACTTTTTTTTGCTCTTGCACTAATAGCCAAAGAGTCCATCTTCCTGCTTTATCAACTTGTTTTGTTGTCTTTTACTACATCTTTTATTTCTTGGAAGGCAGTATTTGCTTTTTCTAGGGGAGGGGGTCTTCTCCCTAAAACGTTTCTGGCTTAAGTAAACTGACTGCACTTTTTTCCTCCACCTGTTTTTGCAGGGGGTCTGTTTTCCCGTCCTTTCTTCCATTCTTCAGTTTTATTAATTTAAGTCTTTTGGTTGGTTTTTCTCCATTACTTGGGCTGTTTCCTATTTAGGCTAGTTATATTCCCTAATTATTTGGGAATAACCTTCAACTAATTCTAATTTTTCCTGGAAGTTTTCTTTGCAACTATGATTGGTGGAGTAAATGCCAGCAGTCTGTTAACCTACATTATTTCAGGCTTAAACCTGTGTTTTTGTGAGGAATCTTTTGAGCCTTACTCTGGGAATAACACCTCTAGGAAAAGAAAGAGCTTCAGCACCAGGTCATACAATTTCATGGGATTTTATTAGTACATAAGCTCTGACAAGTATTTTCTCTCTTTTAATCACATAAAGAATTTCAAGAACATACCCCAAGACAGAAGAATACTGGGAACATGTAGCTTAACTCAACCTAAATTTACACTACCTGGAATGACGCAGTAGCTTTTCTTTAAGCAGCATAAAGCCCAAAGCAGCATGGAGCAGTAAACTAGAGAAAAATCTGTGTAATCTCACCAATCCTCCAGGAAAGGATAGTGAAGCATATTCAAAAACTGGGCCCAAAAATGACTCGGTAGGAAAAGGCCCTACCTCCAAGGGGTTTTCCTTCAGATGAGTACCTGAAAGACAGGAAATGAGGGGAAGAGCCTTGTATCCTCTCTCATTGACTCCCTGTTGGGGCAGCCCTCTTTTTATACTTTATTACATAAGAAATGCCAATGTTGGATCAGGCCAAAGGCCTATCCAGTCCAACACTCTGTGTCACACAGTGGCCAGAATTACCAAATGCCATCAGGAGGTCCACCAGTGGGGCCAGGACATTAGAAGCCCTCCCACTGTTGACCCCCCCCCAAGCACCAAGATGACAGAGCATCACTTGCCCCAGAGTCCCTATCTATACCTTGTGGCTAATAGCCACGGATGGACCTCTGCTTTGGCAGATCTGCCCACTCTTCTAACCCAATTTGGCAGATCTGCCCACTCTTCTAATCCAATCAGATTCTTACAGCTACTCTTGGGTCTTCACCAACTTGATGATAGACCGTTATTAGCAAAAATTATCATATGATCATGAGACATACACATGACCTGTCTGGGTTTCCCCCAGCCAAAAACACCCCAACTTTACTGGGTCAGGCCGGACTATGCTGGAACCTAAACCCACTTCTGCTTTGGCCCAGCGTTGCTGAGGTGGCCTATCTCCTGACAGCATCCATCTCAGAGCTAAACCTTCTGTGACAGTCACCCTTGTCCACATCCATAGTTTCCCCCATTGCTGGCTAAGCGCCGTAACAATAAAATTCATTCATTCATTCATAGTTTCCCCAAAAACCAACCCTTCAGGAGTTTCTGGTTACTGGCAATAATGGATACAATAGTATAGTATATAGTGTGATAGCATAAGCTTGTAGTGTATAAATGTATAACATTAACCTACATGACATAGCATAGCTTTGTGATCAAATAGCTCCATGCTTACATGTAGGAAGAGAAAGTGAAAGTACAAATTATAAAAACTAGTCTTATAGGTTCCTAAATAATTAAGAACAAGGGAAATATGGAACTTCTTACTGAGTTAGTTGACCTCTTCCAGCCTGTGCTAGTAACATACGGACTAAAGCCCAAGGGGCTGGGCATACCTGGCAGAAATTATTGGTATAATTCTGATTGTAAGTCGTTTAGAAGAGCAATTGGGAGCATTCATGGATCATTTAAAAATTAAATAGAATAGAGTATTGCCATGTAATTTGAAACTGAAAAGAGAATATAAAAATTATTGAAAATTAAGAAATCTGAGCAGGGCTATTTTTGGGTAGGAACGCACAGGAACGGAGTTCCGGCTGGCTCCCAAGTTGGCCACACCCAGCAGGAACTCATTAGCATAATAGGCCACACCCAACAGCAGGAACTCATGAGGATTGGCTACATTAGGGGTGTTTGGCCAAACATGCAAAAGAGTTCCTGCTCCAAAAAAAGCCCTGGGTTTTGACAACAAACAAGGTAAACAGAATAAGAAGCAAAAGGTGGGTGTGGGTGGATAACCACACTTCTGGCAACACATGGGTGTGGCCTAACATGCTAATGAGCTGTGCTGTTATGGGTGTGGCCTAATATGCTAATGATGTCCTGCTGTTGGGTATGGCCTATTATGCTAATGATTTTCTACTGGGCTTTTTCTACAAAAAAAGCCCTGAATCTGAGGCTCAGAAGAACAAATGGGGATGTTTATTCTGGGACATAAAACCGAAAAACGATAAATTGTTCTGAACTTTAATAGGAAAAGGATTAAATACAATGTTTTCCTGTACCTTGCCACATTCCGGCAGCTGTTTGGGAAGCCTTCTTTACCACTACTTTCGCAAATAAAAATGAGGCTATACCAGATGGCAGACCAGAATCACCATCAGATGCAAAGGGTTGGCCCCCATTAATGACTAGTGAGATTTAAGATCCTGATTTAGCAAGACAAAAAGGGGGAAAGCACCCGGTCCTGACTTAAAAGCAATGGAACTATTCAAAATCGACCTAGATTGGTGGGTGCAGATTCTGACCTCGTGCCTGAAGTTTAGCACAGTGCCATAATTGTCCTGATTTATAAAAAGGGGGATCTGATGGATCCAACAAATTACTGTCCAGTAAGTTTGCTGTCCATCATTGGAAAACTTGATGTTGCAATGCTTTATGGAAAGCTTAGATCCTGGGCTGAAGAAAATAACATCCTTGGGAATGAGCAGGTTGGTTTTAGGAAAGGAGTAAGCACTATTGATCGTTGTCATACTCTCAGGCCAGATAGGAGCCCTGTAGGGGCTGGATCCAGCCCATGGGCCGTATGTTTTTGACACCCCTGTTTTTTTAGAGGAACAGACTGATTGTAGACATGGCTTGCAGTGATTCTGTGGTTATGGTGGCAGCGTCCACTGCCATTATCAATGTGTGGCTGCTGTGGATGGTATGATGAACACAAAGTTCTCATTGGAGGGAAAATGTCAGGTAGGTACATATGAACTGACTGAATTCTCACGCACTTGACCAGTCTGACTCCCTAAGATATGCTTAGAATCACAGTTTAGTCATAATAATGAATTAACTCTAGTTCCTTTCTTTTAAAGGTAACCGGTGGCTCCAGTGGCATTGGAAAAAGTATTGCCGTGGAATGCTTCAAGCAAGGTGCTTTTATAACACTGCTTGCAAGAAATGAGGTAAATTTCTGCCATTCTTACTTAAAAAGAGGTTGTAGAATACTGTAAGCAATCAATAATGACGATGTGCAAAAAAGTATTTTTCAGGTTTGAGTATATTGAACCCAAAAAATATCGGTATTTCCCAATATTCCTTAAAGCTAATATTGGTATGATATTGGGATTCAGGAAATATGTGGGATTGCCAATTTTTTTTTTTTTTGCTCCATTATACCCTATGGAGACCATTATAGTCAATGGTCCCTATAGGCTATAAATGGAGAATCAATTGGGGAGAGGCTGTTTTTTGCATCATAGCTGTTGGTGCCTCTCCTCAAAAAACCCCCCCTAAATTTCAAAAAGATTGGACCAGGGGGTCTAATTCTATGGCCTCGGAAAAAGGCCATGACCTACCTGCCAATATCGATACAGTATTTGAACTGGAGACCCCTTGGCTACCTTTGGATTCAGTTTTTGATAACTTCAGCCTGCTCTCCACTGCAGTTGTAGACAGGATCCAGGGTGCTGTCAGGCCGACCATGTGCCTCCTGGATCCGTGTCCCTCATGGTTGGTGAAAGCCAGTGATGAGCGGATACGGGGCCCTCTGATGGACTCTGTCAATCTGTCCCTGGAAATGGGTTTTGACTCTATTGTTTCTGGGTAAGGAAACTGAGAGAGCGGTAGCTGAGCAGCTCCAGGGTTTCCTGGATGACACATCAGCATTGGATCCATTCCATTTTGCCCCAGCCACAGAATAGGCTGCCCTGATGGATTATCTCCACAGGCAGCTCGATCGAGGTGGGTCAGCACTTCTGTTGTTGCTAGATGTCACAGCAGTGTTCGGCACGGTCGAACACGATCTTTTGACCCACTGCCTGCCGACATGGGAGTTTGTGGGGTGGCCCTTCAATGGTTTGCCTCATTTCTCTGTTGTGGGGGACAGAGGATGTGTCCTCTAGGCATCTGTATGCATCCCCACGCCCAGCTGGCACAGAATTTCGGGCTGGGCTGTCATCAGTATGCTGATGGGGTGGGGTGGTTAAAAAGGAGCAGGCTGAGACTGGATCCAATTAAAACAGAGGTTCTGTGGCTGGGGGGGCTTCAGGGTTGGGGCATGGTCTTCCTGCTCTCGATGGGGCACCATTGACATTGGTGCAGTCTGTCAAGAGTTTGGGGGTGATTTTGGACGCCTTCATGACTATGGAAGTCCAAGTCACGCGAATTGCTAGATTGGCATTTTTCCATCTGCGCCAGCCGTGGCAATTGGCCCCTTTCTTGTCGCACCCTGACCTAGCCATGGTAATCCATGCAACAGTCACCTCCAGGCTAGACTACTGGAACTCGCTTTACGCTGGTCTGCCCTTGAGACTGACCCGGATGCTCCAGCTGATTCAAAATGCAGCAGCACAAGTCCTGATGGAAACGTCAAGGATGGCACACATACAGCTTGTGCAGTGCTAGCTGTATTAGCTTCCAGTAGAGTACTGAGTCAGGTTCAAGGTTTTGGTGTTGATGTTTAAGGCCTTGAGCTGTCAGGGTATGTCCCCGGGAGAGCGTTACGCTCCTTGGATAGGGATTTGCTGGTGGTCTCCAGCCCCAAATATATCCATCTGTCTTAGACCAGGGCCAGGGTCCTGGCCGTGACCCAGCGGAACTCTCTGCTGGACACCATCAGGGCCCCGCGGGATCTTATGCAATTCTGCAGGGGCCTATAAGGCAGAGATGTTCCGCCAGGCTTTTGGTTGAGGACAGCAACTGTTTCCACTCTAGTTGGCAGCCTCTCCTTGCTCTCCAGACTTGTTTTTGTTCCTCCTCTTCCCGTGTTGGGCAGTCTGGAATGCAAAGTAATGTGTAGCTCGCCATCTGGATTCTTTTAAATCTGTAATACTAGTATTGTTGTTGTATTTGATTTTTTTATGGTTTTATATTTTTATTTATTGTACATCGCCCAGAGTCCTGTGGTAGCAGGGTTTGGGTGGTTCAGAAATAGGTGGTGGTGGTGGAACATGGTCCCTTTAAATGCCTTTTGCAAGCCAAGCCACGAGTGAACTCTGAAGCAGCGAGTTCACCCGGAAGCCTTCCGGGTGAACGTGCCGCTTCAGGGTTCACTCATGGCGCAGCTTTTAAAAGGCATGTAAGGGGAGTTCCCTTTAAATGCCTTTTTCCCTCCACGCCTTACAAAAGTCTGATCCTGGGCTGGCCAGGATTTTTTTGCTTGTGGGCAGTGTTCCCTCTAAGCTGAGTTAGGGTGAGCTAGCTCACAGTTTTTTAGCCTCTTGCTCACACACTTTTGTCTTAGCTCAGGAAGGAGGGCTCCAGAGCAAACTAATGTATGCAGTAGCCAAGTCACTCGCTCACAGCTTTAATGCCAGTAGCTCACAGGGTAGAATTTTTGCTCACGAGACACTACAGCTTCGAGGGAACATTGCATATTTTTTTCTTGTGGGGCAGCCAGTATTTGTGTCGGCTGAGCTCCTGGCCAGTTTTTGCGATAACTGGGAAAGGGGGGATGAGTCCCATTGAAATCAATGAAGTGGGAATCAGCTTGGTAGTGGGGGGACTTGGCACTTTCCCAGGGACAGATCAGGACCACCGGGGAAACCATTCAGCACACTAAAGGCTCCTCTCGGAGTGTTTATTCCTCCAGAAGGCAAAGACCGCGGGGCTGGCCAGCCGCTCTGCGTCTCTCCCGGGCCGGCCGCTCTGCGTCTCTCCCGGCCTCTCTCTTGAACATAGAGCCAGAGAGGGGTTGGGTCCTGCTGTCCTTCGTTCTGGGGCCGGAGTGGAGGAGCAGCTTGGGAGCTCAGCAGGCCCCTCTTGCTGGAGGCCGGCCAGGCTCCATGGCAGTGGCTCCAAGACGCGGCCAGGGAAGAGAGGCATGGTGGGAGAAAGCTCAACCGTCCCTCGACCCGATAATGCGGGGAGACTCAACCACAGAGAAATGGCTCCCTGCCACCCACCCCCACCCTCCGCTGCACTCTGCCTCTCTCCTGTGCCAGCCTGCTGGGAAGTATGCAGCCTGCAATTGCCCTGTGAATGCCAATAAGCCCAGCTGGTGATGGAGAGGCGCGGGGCGGTGGTGCTGGAATGATGCAGGGGGAGCGCTGGAAGTGTTGCCTCCTGCGGCTGGTAGTCGGCCACCACATCACCCTCCAGCGGGGCCAGGACTATGCTTCCTAGGGTGCATCGGGAGGGCCAGAGGAGGGCAGGCGTGTTTGTTTCTGTGAAGGGAGGGAGGGAGAAGGGGGCAGCAGCAGTGCGACTTTGCTGAACTTTCTAATACCAATACCAAATTAAATATAAATAAATAAAACATGGACTTTTGGGGCATGGCTGTTTATGAGGGGGGCATGGCCCTAAAATGCCCCACCATAGCTCCAGGCCGAATAGTACATTTACCCTTGGTTTTATTCAGTGTAAACCAGCCCCTTATGGGATTGTCCACAAAATCTTGTTCTGCCATTCAGTCTCACTGCATGGTAGTAAGTTAAGGCATTTGGTATTTCTAAGCCTCTTTGACTCCACTTCTGCACAGCCTGCCAAGCCATTCTTGGTCTCTTACTTTGCTGAATAAAATGGTTACATAGTCTCCCCTATTCTAGTAATTTTTTCTCTGATATGATCACAGGAGTGTTTTGCATGACAAGTGTTAGCTTCAGCGAAACTGCAATTTTGAATGCATTAATCCTATCCAAGAGGGATAACTGCAAAGATTCCCACAGATAAAGTATCAGTAATTTTCTTCCATAGTAAATTGTAGGTTAAGGTATTTTTGTTCTTTACACGTATAGATACAGAGGTATTTTGCATGGGTCTAATTATATTTCACTCATGTTAACCAGCAGCCACCTTTTATTTCAGTTCAGTCTAGGTTAAACAGCATAAACTCTGATTTCTGAGTGTTTATCTTATAGCAGGAGACCTTAGATTACGCGTCAGCCACTTCTGTAGTGTTCTACATGATGAATTTATATCTGATACAAAAAATATAATATTGTCACCTGTTACCTTGCAAAGTGGTAGTCTGAAATTCCTAACAAAAAACCCTAACAAAAAAGCTTTATATTTGATGGTAGATGTTACATTGTAAGATCTGTAGGTGGAGCAGAAGAATTTGCCTTGCATATCTTTCCTTGTGATTCTGACAAAATTGAAGCCTTGAAAATATTTTCAGTTAATATCAATGGCTTAAATGAACTGCATAAGCAATGTAATGTTATGTATAAACTATATAAGGCAATAGCAGATCTAATTGCTTCAAGAAACCCGTATTAGACTTTCTCAAACAAATCTGATTGAAAATCTAAAATTTGGTACTTTATATGTGGCAGCCTATTATTAAAAAAAGATGTAGCCGTATACATTAAATTCCATTTTATTAATTACAAGAATGTTGCTCAATAAGAATAAGAGATATTTATTCCTCAAAGGTTCAATTAAGAATCATCAAATAACTATCAGCAATATCTATGCACCTAATCATAACCAGAATATTTTCTTTAATAAAAATTTACAGGAGAAACTTACACAATTTGCTTCTGGAGACCTCACAATAGGTGGAGATTAATTGCAGCATGAATAACTTTTTCCCTTTTTCAAAAGGAAAAAGCAGTGTATCTGCTTGTCTTACATGTTTAAGAAGGCCCTTAAAATGTTAAATTTAATTGATACCTGGTGAAATGTGAACCCAACAGTAAGAGACTATACCTTTTCTTCAGTATCACTGAATTCCTATTCATATATAGATTTCTTTCTGCTTTCTTCTTCTCTGGTAGATAGTATCAAACAGGAAAAGGCTGAGGTAAATGTATTTGCTGATCATGCTCCTATCTCTCTTAATCTTGCCCCTAAAAGGAACAAAAAAATTAGCCATTGGAGGCTTGGTAATGATTTGTTACCTAATCAGGTAGAGAGAAGTTACAAGTTGAACTGCAAATTTACTTTGATATAAGCTCTAGTCAGGAGGTTTCCCCTATTATAGTTTGGGGAAAGCCTTCTTCTGAAGCCTAGCCATTAGTTC